CTGTGTGTGGGTGTGTGTATGGATGTTAATGTGACTGTGGGTGTGGGTGGGTCTTTATTACAAAGCCACAGCTCTCAAAGGAACACCCACGTAAAGTCACTAGAGGTTGGCACGCTCAGCTCACGAACTCTGTTCAAATGACCGGAAGAACTGCCTGAACAGTTCATCTGAGCAAACTGAACCGTTTTAAACAGTTTGTTTCACAAGAACTGAACCGTTTGAACAGCTCATTTGAACGAGCCGCAATTTTTTTAGGGATATCCATTGGTCTTGGAGAGCTACTAACGGAGCGCGCTTAGGAACTCAAGGGCTATAAGTGAGAATGTCCTTAGGACCACAAGAGCTACTACAGACGAGTACTCTTAGGTGCTCAGGATCTAATACAAGGCGAACCTTTAGGTGCTCAAGCCCTACTATAGATGGAGACTCTTACGCCCTCAAGAGCTACTGTAGAGAGGTATCCTTAGGTACTCAAAGTCAACTATAGGAGGTAATGTTCTGTGCTCAAGACATACTATAGGGAGGTACCCTTTGGCCTACAAGGCCGACTATTATGAGGAATCGTTGGGTTCTCAAGTACTTCTGTTAGAAGATAGCTTCGGTAGGGCTGGAAAGTTTCCGTTCCCAGAGCAATTCCAGAAAACAGCCTGAGAATGGGCCACGGGGCATTATGGATCAAACGTCATAAAAACATTCATTGGGATTTGTAAAGACCCTCTCCCGATTTTGGTAAAGGCAACATATACTCATACTCCGGCTGATCCTAGGGTTAGCAAGGATGCTGTGTTGATTAATGGGTATATACATGAGTATCCGTCGACCCCAACATCCCACAACCGACGGACTAAAACACGGAGAGAAAATTTTAAAAAAATCGCCATCCAAATTAGTGAAGGCTATTCATCCCTTATTTTGATGATGCCCCGCCACAGTAGCCTCAAATTATTAGGTCTTGAAGACCTAAGGGTACTCCTACAGAAAGTTCAGTGCACTGGAATGAGCTTTTCTAGCAGTTCAGCTGATATGAAATGAGCTATTGGAAAAGTTCGGTTCACTCAAGTGAGCTGTTCGAACTGTTCAGCTCATTTCAAATGAACTCTTTCAGAAAGGTCAGTTCCCTCAAATGAGCTGTTGCAATAGTTTTGTTCGCTTCAGTGCTCGTTTTGAACTTCTCATTTTTTGTGAGCTTCAGCTGTGCGTGCTGATTCGCACAATCCATCCAAACTCAAGATTGCGTCTAGACCCAACTTTGAAGAGTTCTAAGAGTATCCAGATTTCCAAGTTTTTTCTGGATTTCATAGACATCAAGAATTCTATGGATTCCAAGAACTCCAATTATGCCAAGGGCCTAAAGAAATCTTAGAAGGACTACGAGGTTTCTCGTTTGTTTGAGAATATAAGAGTTCTGTATTCGTGAACTATTCGTAGTTCTTAGAATCCGGTTGCTGCTGAAAAATTTTGTGATCCTAATCTAAGATAGTTCCTCTGTTTAAATGAAATTTTCCTAGTAAGCCTAAGCTACGCAAAGGTTTTCGTTGAAACTGATAATCAATTTATTGGCTCCATCTGAAAGCGTTCGTTATGAAGCATTTACAGCCCAAATGTCTAACTGGTGTAAAAAAATTATATGCTAGTATAATACAGAGACGGAATCAAACGGATTTCGATGGGTTCGATTCGGTCCAACTGCTTTTGGGAAAATTCAGTTCGTATACAGTTTGCTTTGATTTTCGATCTCTAATTTGGTGAAACATCCGAGGGAACCTCTTTTAGGTGAATCTGGGCGGTTTCAATGAAGCTTGGTTTATAGATACTCCATTGTGTTCTAGATAAAAATCTAAGAAGGTTTGAGTACGAATCACTTTCTTCAGAAGTTAGGATTCCTTTAATTTTTGCCGTTACAGAACAAAATATACAACATTAAGAATCCTTATTCTGTAAAAATACAATACAATATTGTGTAACGTAACTTGACCAGAAGAAAACGATACACTATGATTCCCAGATCTGCTCCATCGAAATATGTAGGATATTGAATAATGTCAAGAAGAAAATTCAGAATTAGTGTGTCCTATTTTAATAGAATTATGATTCTTATTACTATATATTGTGCTCTATAACGGGCAAAATTAAGACGATCCTAACTTTTGAAAGAAGAAAGTTGCACTCTAACGCTTTTAGGGCGTTTACTATGATATTATGTAGTATCTGCAGATAATGGTTCATTGAAATCGCCATAGGGTACCTGAAAATGTTCCCTCGTTAGTACATATCTAATCTATTAAAGCAACACAGTTCCTAAATAATAAGTACTTCACTAAATCGTTCTGATTAAATATTTAAATCGCTAGCCTCAAAATATTTGGTCAGTCATAAACATCGATAAAAAGCAGTTTAGAATGTCCTTTATAGATTTTCTTAGCTTTTTATTCATATTAAAATAGCATAAAGAAATTTCATAGTAGAGACCGAATCAAACTGACTTTTACAAGTTTTGGTTCAGTTTTATTTCGGTCTCTGATACAGTAGCAAATGAAGCCAGTGCTTGGAAGTTCGATCTAGAAATTTTCTCGACCGTATTCAATCGTTTCTTTGTTCAAGAATTACATAGCTGATATTGAGATAGTCTCATTAATTCCATTTGTTCATTTTCTCCAAATTTGAATGGATATCTCTCAATGTGAGATTTATTTCTGTTGGATATCTATAGTAACCCTTGCATGTTTTTCTTGAAGTTTTCGAAAATATCCTTGCAGTAGTGAAGATACTTTATGTGTAATCAAAAACATTTTGTTGTTTTATTTTTTATGAGATAAAAGATGCCATCAAAGTGCTAATATAATGAGACGAAGTACACAAGACAGATAGTGAACATGCATTTCGAACTTGAACATTCAGTTTTATTGAAGTTTAAACTTTCAAAAATGGGTCATAGCTCTCCCTATGTATGCTGAAGCTATAGTGGATAGTGATCTGTGGGGAATATTCCATTGCGTTATCGTTCACATGTCTGACAGTCTTGAGTTCTGCTTGGGTATGATTTTTAGGTTCTACATCCGACTTCAATCGACAGAGCTGAACCTGAACTCAACTCCATCCCAATGCAATTAACCTATTTAAAGATTCTACGAAGCGATACCTTTATATAGAATTAGTTTTTCATCTGCTAGAAACAAATACACAGAGAATGATAGATTGCGAAAAGACAAAAACGTAAAAACTTAGACAGATTTTCAAAATTCAAACTTAGTCCAACCATTCAATGAAAACCCTAAATATGACCTTCGGCAAGCAAGGTGCAATTGACGTAAAAAGGAACGAAAATTTGTTTTAAAATTTTTAATGCAGTATTCAATAGAGCAGGTGACAATGATCATGAATATCTGGTTTTTAATCTTTCTACACCCTTCCTTGGATCCAAAATTCCAAAAAACTTTCGGCTTCTAATAAACTTTTTTTCAACGGCTTTTCGTGAAGTCCCGTTTTCGGGACCAAAAATATAGTCGATTCGACTTCAAAAGGACATATTCTTGCTCAGCATAAAATAGGAATGCACGGTTCCAGTTTTTATCGGTTCCAAAGAACCGGAATCGAAACCCATAAGAATTGGTTGGAACTGGGATGTGAGAGCGTGGGCAGGTGTGTAAATATGTTGGTGAGTGTGAATGAGTGGAT